CCAAGACACAGAGGGAGAAAGAGGGTGTTACCATGTTAGCAAAGCTTAAAAACGCATTCGTTTTAAAATGTAAATTCAACTTTTATAAATTTAAAATTTTGTTAAAAAATTTTAAAAGTTGATTTCCAAAGATGTATTTAAGTAAATTTTGAAAAAAACTTGCATTTCTCTTACAAATTCAAAATTTTATGGGAGTATATTTGTGTGAAAAAATTCTATTTAATTTGATCCTAAAATTAATTATGCTATAAATCAAAGGTTAAATGCTAAATTTTGTCCCTCAGCTTTAGTGAGTTGCACATTTTTGGTCCCTCAACAATTTTTAACACTTTTTTGATCTGTCAACTCTAAGAAATGCACTCCGTTAGTCATTCTGTTAATTTGAACCGTTAACTTCGCTTATGTGACATTTTTTATATTTTTTTTGATGATGTGAAGAGCAAAATTTAGAAAAGTGATGATATGGATAAATTTTTTGACATGTCATGTTACTATGTGCCAAATCTATTCAAATGAGTCCCACATCACTAATAAAGAAATTTGTCTTTGGTTGACCTGGCACCAAATCTATTCAAATGGATCTCACATCACTAATAAAAAAAATATCTTTTGATGACATAAAAAATTAAGTGATATTTTTTATATTTTTTTAATAATATAACAAATTAAATTGAATATTTATCCGAATAAAAAATAATATCAAATCAAAATTTATTAATTAATCATAATTAAACTATAATTATTTATATTAATTAAAATTAAGATTCTAAGTTAGTTTATAATTAAATTACAATTTTTTCACCAAATTTTCTTTCTTTAACGAACATTATAATTTCTCGGTAAGCAATCTCGGCAACCAAACAAATTCAAAGCATTTTCTCAGCATCCAAACACCCAAACCATACCATTTTCCAGCCAAACAGATGGAAACCCACTAAGAATTGCTTCTTTACCCAACTGCTTCTGTTCTTTCCATTTTGAACCCTACAACTTGGATAATCTCTTCGCAAACAAACATATAACAAAAAACAAAAAAGTGGGGAAGAAGAGGAAGAAAGAAAGAGAAAAAAAAAGAAAGGAAGAAGATGATCAAAAGAGGGGAAGAAGATGGATCAAGAAAGGGAGATGGGTAAATTTGTAATTTTTTATTTTTTTATTAAAGTAAAATCGGTTTAAGAGTTAGCGATGAGTTGGATGAGTTGACGATGACGTGCCTTAAAAAAAATTTCAAATCAGCGCTTTTTTAAATTGTTTTTGCCATGTCATCAAAAAAATTATAAAAGATGCCACATGTCGTAGTTAACGGTCTAAATTGACAGAAGGACTAACGGAATGCATTTTTTAGAGTTGAGGGATCAAAAAAGTGCAAAAAATTGTTGAGGGACCAAAAATGTGCAACTCACTAAAGTTGAGGGACCAAATTTAGCATTTAACCTAAATCAAATAAATTAGATTTAATTGGAACAATTTTATTTTCATTTTTATATATATAAGGATTAATGGTTATTTGGCTTATTTTTTAAAAATTAGGAGAAAAATTAGTTTAAAGCTACATCGTTTTAATAAAGTATAAGAAAAAAAGACCAAAAAGAGTTTAATTCATATTTAAAAAAAAAAGATATTTTAGTTTTTCTCAATGAAAGTTTATTAAAATAATATACTTTCAAAGTGATTTTTCTTCTAATATTTGGAAGGAAAGGCAAATGGATACTATTCACACACATGTATAACATGGAATAGTGTGTATTAATTTTGACTTTTATTAAAAAAAATTAGAATCTTAACTTCAAAAATATCACTTTTTAATAAATATTTTCAAAAATTAATTATTTGATTTAATATTCTATTAATATAAATCATGCATAAAAATATCAAGTTGATTTAACATTTATAATCATACGATTAAGAATCTTGTGTAATCTAATTATATTTATCAATGATAAATTTTCTATATTCAATGAATTAGTTATATCTATTTAATTAATTTTAAAAATTAACATACATGATCTACATAATTAA